ATATTTTTGGAACCTATTAAACTTCTGCAATATATAATAAACAGTCATGAGAAACGTAACCAGCTTTCTGTCATTACTTTCATTACAAAGTAAAGTACTGTAGATAATATAACTTATTAATTCACAACATAACCGACTTTTATATATGTAGGTAACTTTTGTGAGACAGTGGTGCTGCTAGGCGTTTTCTAGCTAGCGACATGAACGCATACCATAGCAGCTGAGATGACAGAAGTTCAAACAGAACTGGCAGGGATATTGACGAGCTCGTCACAGAACACTTATGGCAACTTCATGCGACAGGCGAACCGAACCATTATGGCAGCACGACAGGCCACGTGATTGATTTCGGCATATCAAACAACCTGGAGCTGAGCGTGAAATTTTGTTATAATAAAACTGATGATGCATATAATTTCAGGATAAAGACCACTTTTATATAAAAGCGTTTTTGATTGACAAATCTGGATTCAATCTAGATTTATTTTCGATCTGTCAAATTTTGTTGTAAACATTATTATTTTTCGTATTTATAATACATATGTATGTCGAATGGAATCACAGTTTATCTGTCATAAAAAAGTCATAAAAAACAGCTGTTAATTTTCGGATAATCTTGATACTCTGGCAATATATCCAGAGTGTTGAAAATTAATCTAAATTTTGATTGTTATAAATTTTGCGCCACTTTTACCAATCGAAAATGAAAATTGCACTAAAAGCTCATCTCGATTGAAAATATTACTCCAGATTTACCAATCGAAAACTCCAAAAGTAACCATTGCCAAACAAGTAAAAATTTATTTTTTATAAATTGACATATAATTTATATTAAAAATTTTTAATACAAATTTATATTGATCTTGTTTTTAGTTATAAAAATTGTTGTATAATTCAGTTTATTTAAAAGAAATGGAGTTCATATATTTAATTAATTCTGTTCTTACGTTGTTAATGGGTAACGATTCTATAAGAACTTACGTATATACGATTAACTTAAAATCACATATATGTGACATAATTCTTTGAATTGAGAGAAGGATTTTTATATATAATTTGAAACAAAGTAACAATAATATTATAAAGGATTAATATTATTGACTTATAAAAAATTTTTATTTTTTTTCAATATGATCAAAATTTTAAGTTAAAACTGTTTTTTCGTTTTTATCTTGTACTTTTTTGAGAGAATGACGGATGTGCAACTCTTGTGTGAGGACATAAGACTTTTATTTTGCAGATATAAAGATAAACAAAAGGTGAGCCTTATTGGAGCAGTGAATGAAGTGAGTTGCTGCGAATGTAATCACAGAGCTCGGCTGGACGAAGCAAAAACTAAAACACACATGTAGGCTTAGCACTTTCATACTTCATACGTCAGACTAAAATTCAATTTTTAATATTTAGAACTAACGGATATATTGATTTCCTTATATTAATACTAATAGCTATATTAGCTATATTTGTTGTGTATGCCATAATAGCTGCAAGAAAATATCACACTTCAAGAACGCTAGGAACGGGGTCTTGTCTATCAACATTCTTCTGGACGTTTGGTAATTGTACAGTGCTGACCTGAAACAGTAATTCGTCAATCAAAATTAGTACGAGAGAAAAACAGGTAGAATCTCAAGTATTTTCAAATATTCTAAATCCATTTATACTCGTAATATAATTTTAGTGAACAGCATAAATACGCGGCACTTTAAGCTCTCAGTTGAGAGTAAAGTGGGAAAAAACAAGACAGTTTTAACTGTGACATTTTGTTCATCTTAAGGTATCCATCGCCTTCCGAAACTCAGCAGTCAGACAATCCACCACCGTTTGAACTCCGGCACTTGTCAGTCCTGTGAAAAGCCAATCACCAAACTCAAAACGTTAACAAGAGAATTGCACTATTTTTACTGGATTAAACTCTATACCTTTGTATATATCATCTCTGCCCTACTTACATCACTAAGTTATTTTTTTTATTCCTCTATTCAATAGTTGTGACTAAGAGCAATATGAATAACCTTTTGTATATTTCTAGTATTTACTGGAAGTTATTAAGTTACATCCATATAATGTGTAATTTATTATACATTGAAAGAAAAAGTTTATACCTTGGTTTATATACAATATGGAAAATACTGGAAAATCGTTTTTCTTTAAGCACATTCGAGGAACTAATTCACATATATCTTTTTTTCAACATAACTTAATAGAAACTATTGAATTTGAGCGTTTCCCAAAAGACTACCACAATATATTCTCTTTGCATTACAAATAGATCAGTCATGTTTGAATCTATAAGGCTGTACAAAATAGAATATTATATAAAGAGGAAGATTCAGGATCAGTAGTTCTTAATCCTCTTATTGTCAAGGAACCCCTTGACATGAGATATTTTGAACCTGCTTAGGTAGCCAGTTGAGCTAGGAGGTTTTTGTTGTCATTCTTCACTAACAGTGAAGCGTAGGATCCCTGATTACAATCATTAATTAATTATAATGTATAGTCTTCAGTTTGGAATTTTTTTCCAGCGTAAATCTATTATGATCGTAAAGTTTTGTTGTTTTCCAAGTTTTTTAATTTTTTATCATTATTTAATAGATCATTCAAACCATTCACACTAGATATAATGGATTTTTTAAAAACAAATGAGTTCTGTAGAAGCCTCTACATATGTTCATTTTATCAATACACCAATGATTAGAGAGAGAGTAAATGGCCAAAGCATATTATTGCAGTGCCAGAAGATAAAATCTGTGCCATAATTGAAGTAGACATGGAAAATGGGTGTGGTCTAAGAGGTATGAGAAAAGTTTTGTAAAGTAGATATATCTGGGGTATATATATTTTGACTTTATTATTCCAAGAATGTTACCGTGTTCTTAAAAATTAAAGTGCCTCTTTACTCTGGAAGAAAATAAAAAAAATTTTTCCGTTTTGTTAATCCTCTTAAAATGTATGTATTCTGAAGGCATGGCCTTATAACCATGGTTTGGCTGAGAGGATGTGACGGTGACGAACCTTAAATAATAATGCACAATGGAAGAATTAAAAAAAGGAAAACGGTAACAAAAACGAGACAATTGACAGTAACAATAAAAAATGAAACGATAATATCTTATGAAAAATGATCTAGTGTACTACGTTATACATATTTGAACACCGATCAGTAGGCCTAGCGGAGATCTTCAACCTCGCTTATTTTACAATTAAGTATAAATAGCCCCTAACAAATTTATACCGATAGCAGAATAAATCTATTAACACAGTGCCAAAAAAAGTGGATTACCAAAGAAACTGCTGTATAAGCCGGAAACTGTCAGAATCTTATCAAAAATTGCAGATGTTTATCAAGCACAAAAATAACATTTTACTGACAATAGTGTTACGGAACTACTCAGATGGGCAAAATATTCAACAGCCCACTAGGACTCATCGTTCATAATGACTACATGATGTAAATGCATTAAGGGAAATTAAGGTTAAAGTACTGAATGTCTCATCAAATCACTAAAAATCGATAGACTTTACAACATACTTATATATGGAAAACAAGAAAATTGTTAAGTCAATGAAATGATAACATATTGATTAAATTTCCAAAAAAAGATACTACTTCTGAATTGCGGAACTACAGGTTTGCAGCCTTGTTTTCCATTTCAAATAAAATATACACATCGATGATACGGAATAGGTTTTCTAATACTACAAAAAGTCCATTGAAAGAAAACCAATTTGGGTTTATGTGAACAATGTAATGAATTTTAAAATCAATAAATAAATTATGTACTGTTGTTAAGAAAGCGTTTTCGCTTTCCTACGTCCTACATTTTCGTAGAAAAAACTCGAAGACGTAGGAAAAGAGAAACATGAAAGTCTATTAACGTAGTTCAAGAAAATATGCAGACTTTTATGAACTAATATCGATCTGTGATTTTGAAAAAGTAAAACTAAATAAAATTTACAAACGCAAATGGAGCTGGAGTAGAGCACACTCTATCAAACAGCAATATTACTCAATAGACACTGAAGTAGCATTCGCAATGGACTAGATGCCCCCATGTGCTAGCCATGGCTGAGAAGAGAGCAACGAAATATAAGATATATAGATAATCATATTCATAGTATATACGTATGTATACAGTAAGACGATAGTATTCAACTCACAGATCTTATAGATATTGACAACCGTATTAATTTTGATCTAATTGAATTTAAGATTTCTAAGGTTATAGTGTGGAACAATACCTAATAATTGTAGTCTGGATTACAACTGAATGGATTTGAATCCTAGTATATGAGCAATATATAATATTCGTTTAATATATATGAGCAACTAAACCAAATAAATGTTTCAAAATGAACCAAAATGCTTGTAAATCAATTTTTCAACGAAATAAGAGAAATTACTGAGTTATTTGTCCTAATTATGTTATATTAGGTCTGTTCCACGAGCTACTCGTAGTAAAACTCAAATTATGCTCTTCACACAGAAGAGCATATATAACAATACAAAAATTTAAATTCAAACCAAAACAGCTGATTCATACATCACACAAATTTTACTTGAAATAAAATGTACGAGCATAGTCTGTGTAGCATTTTCAAATTTCAACAGCAATGTTACGCTCTCTCAGATGCTCTTATTACTCGAAAATTTGAGGCGGAACGCACTGTGTATATATAGTGTTACTTAAAGTTACTACGTGTAGCTCGTCTAACAGATCTATTATATCAAACACAACTGTCACTTTCAGCATATATTTTTACTCTTTTTGTTTTTTGCATGGAAATTTTACTCAAAATTTGATATAATTAGGTTTAAAGAAACAAAATAACAAAATACGTAATACATTAAAAAAAATAAATATTATAATATATATAATAATATTAAAATATATAAATGTTTAATTACTCTGATTTCCGGTTTTTACTTGAATTCTTTGAGTTCATATAATTTGACAAGCACTAATCACTGCTATAATATGAGTAATCGATTGCACTAAAAATATTCCTTTAAACACAAAGAATAAAAATTATCGATACATTTATAATGAAATTAAATTTTTTTGACAGAAATTATTTTCAATAATTACTAACTTTGTATCTTATATATAACTTTATATCCTTTATATCTTTCATACAGAGTAATATACATATTCATAATATATTTTATTATATATACATTCATGTTTGTATATATAATGTCACCAATAATAAAAATTTAATATTAAAAACCAAAAATAAAAATTTTGACAGCTGTCATATTTAATATAATAGATTAGAAAACAGGTAGATATAATATTTAGTAAGAGTATGAGATGTTCTGCTCTGTACGCACTCTTACACGTAAAAAGTTATATCATATGAAAGGCGCTATTTTTACCTAAGTAATATTAAAAGAAAGGCATCTTAGATTAACGCCTTGCAGCTTTGTTTACTTTTTAAGGCAACATATGTCCAAGTCTCGGTGAATATAGCAACTAATAATAACGGCTATAACATTGCCGTACATTACTTGGAATCAGCTATTGTTAATGACGCTCAAGCATCATTTGCATTTTTAAAGAATTTTTAATTTTTCTTTCTATATCATGTTTCTATTTACATTACATTTATAATTATTTGGAAACATTTTCAAGAAGTTTTATATTTCATCTCTGTTTTGAACCGCAGATAATGCTCAAAATAAATTTTAATTTTTCCTAAATTCTAGAATATAAGGCCTACTTAAAAGTTTAAGTTCTTATCTGTTATCATTGATTATCATTGATTAAATGTTTTGTAAACTCTTTATGCAATCTAATTCTTCTCTTTATCTAAAATAATACATATAAAGTTATATACATATATATTTTTATATAAAAATAAAATTTATTTAAAATATTTTTAACTTCTAAATATATTACAAAACAATCTTACAGATTCTTAAAAAAATAAATTACTGAAAGTGAAATGGTGCACCACAACTTCGGAAATCAATTATGCCATAAAAAACTAATAATACTATGTTCTCACTGCAGCTAAATTATCATTATCATCCGTGATTATACAGTCCTCCAATTTCTTATGTTCATTTCTTCTAAATCCACTGCAACTAAATCAATTTATGTTAATCAAATTAAGATTTGGTCGTCTTCACTGGCATTAATTGATTTATGCATGTGATAAAGCTTTTATGTGTCAGTAAGTTTTGTGAAAGATCTAGAAGAACAGCGTAAATGAAAAAAATTATAGTTACTGAAAAACATTTTGAATTGTTGTCGCTATCCATTTGAAATAAATAAATTTCCCTTAATAATATATCGTACAAAAAAATTATATATGTAATTGATGTATTGAATGATTTTTATATAGTTTATATGTCTATTACACATTCAATGGATAAAAACAAAGATATTATTAAATACTCACTATATCAGTGCGTTTGATTTCAGTTCAGCTGTTGTTTGTTTGTATTTTATATATAAAACATATGACAAATATTTCAAATTTTGATCATTTCCCTTGAAAGTTTTTTTTATGGTTGTATGGTGAATTATTCTCATTAGCGGCCGTAATGAGCGAAACTCTCTAAATGAGGCTAGTGAAAACATGATATAAGTTAAAAATCACTTAATCAACGAAAGTTTTAGCGAAGACAACAGGAACATACCATAATATATGTATACATAATTGTAACATTTAAGACAATTTTCTAAATTTTAATCCTTATATTTTAGTATTTAATTTTTTTTTTTGAATAGCGATAGATAAAAAACAATTCTTTAATCCACATAGTGAGGAGCAATGTTAAACTATTAATTTGGTATTATATTATTTTATATTAGTGTTAATGAAATGTAGTCGGTAAAATTTTAACATTTATGTATATATGTTGCTATAGAATTACATTACTGAGTTATACTAGATTCACACCAGAGTTTTAATTGTAATTTTAGATGTCAAAAATTTTAAACTTTTATCTGAATTCAAAAATATCGATTCACACGACGTGTTATTTGATTGTCAGATTTATCATACGTCCAATTTTCTTAACAGTACAACGAATCAAAACCTTGTAAACCCTGAAACATTTGACAAGAAACTAGCAAAGTTGTCCCCATCGTGCTCCGTCGAACCAACATCTGTAGCTC